AATCTTGAAAACACTCTTCATCTTCTTATTTGCCAAACAATAATATTAATCTCATCTATAACCAAATTAACATAATTCAAACAACTCTAACAACTCTTCAAATTTCTAACAATTTTCTAATACTCTTCTTAATATTTTACTAAATTTCACTACAAACTCTCCTAATCCATACTACCTCTTTATACTACATGCAATTACTAGCACCTTTTCAACTACTATATACAACAATATCAAAATATTACTTAACAAATATACTGACTCTTTTCTTATTAATCTCTCTAATAATCTTTTATCTTGGTACTGTCAAAAACTATGGTTTATTGTAATATTCATCAATATCAATGTAAACTCTCTCGAAATATTACTGCTAAAGCTAAATACACAAAATCCTACTTTCTAAATACATTTACTTCTTTAAATAATTCCCTAATTACAATACAACCCTTAGATATTAATCTCTTTATTAATAAATAGCTCTGACAAAGATATGCTTTAACTGCATGCTTTACTTAATGCCATGACTATCACCTTAGGTCTCCTTTAATCTATCCAAGCTAGAAATTAATTTGAAATAATTAACTATAGCATTTTATAGAAAATAGTAGTGTAATGTCACATTGGGTGCCTTATATAACACAAATATAGTTAGAAATCTTTTAATTTAGAATTATTTTTCTATTTGTAATAAAGTTTTTACTATGGCATTATATTAATAATAAAAAAAAAAATTTATAAATTTTATAATAATTAGCTATGGATAATAATAAAGTTTCATGTACTTATATATTTTACATACAAAAAACTGATAGTCATGGCAAATTAATAAGTATCTCTTCTCAAACAAGGCATAGAAAATGAAAAAAAAATCTTCAAAATTTTTTTTTAATTTTAAATAATATATCTAATAATATTTTGAATAATCAAAGAAATATTATTAATATAGATGATATTGAGGAAAATATTGAACAAAATAAGATATATTTTTTTAGATTATTTTGAATTAATTATTTTTTAAGGATCAAATATAATATACCAGACACTGTCAGCAAAGTTTCCGAAAAGCCACTTTATGTGATCACATAATGTATATTAGTAGCTTGATTTTTGTGTAATCGCAAATAAGCCAGCCATTCGATCTGGTCTCATGATCATGCGAAGTGGCTACTGTGGCTCATTTGTGATTGAACAAAAACCAAGCCACAAACATTACATAATGTAATCACATGATGTGGCTTTTCAGAAATTTTGCCGATAGTGTCCGCTATAATGTATTTGATTTATTTTTTAAATTAAATTAATATTTTAAATTTTTTAGATTTGAAAATGAGGAATTGGATGATTATGAATTAAAAGAGAATAAATTAGAAGAGAATGAATTAGAGGAGAATGAATCAGAAGAGGATAAATCAAAGGAGGATAAATCAGAGAAGGATGAATTAGAGCAGGATAAATCAGAGAAGGATGAATTAGAGAAGGATGAATTGAAGAAGGATGAATTAGAGAAGGATGAATTAGAGGAGGATCAATTGGAGGAGAATGAATTAGAAAGTAGTAAAAAAATAAATTTTGAATCAGAAGAGAATTTTGATAATATTGAATTTAATGGTTATTATTTTTAATATTTTATTTAAAAAATGTTTTTTAAAAATTTTTATATTAATATTTTTATATTTTAAATTTATTAAATGAAATAATTAAAGGGCTTCAGCTTCTTTATATCAAAGATAAATATACAATTTCTGATCAAGCATTTAATGAAATATTAGAAATTTTTAATATTTTTAATATTTCTCTTTATCAGCTTCGAAAAGTTTTAGGAAATTTGGTTTTACTAGAACCAAAGCTTATAGATATTTGTTGGAATTCTTGCTGTGTATTTACTAGACAAAATGCTAATCTTAATACATGTCCTATATGTAAAGAGTCACAATATATAACTAAAAAAATCCAAAAAATCTCGAAAACAATTAGCATATTTTTCAATAACAGATAGCTTAAAATTACAATATAAAAATTCATCATGAGCAAAAGATCTTAGATATTGATATGAATATACATCAAAAAAAGAATATACTTCTGAGAATAGCAAAATTGGGGATGTTTTTGATAGTAATAGATATAAAACTTTAGTAGCATCAGGCTTATTATTTTTAGATTATAGAGATGTTGCTTTAATTGCATCTATAGATAGCTATCAAATTTTTAAGCAAAAACAAAATGACTGTTAGATAATTTTGCTTTTAAATATAAATTTTCCACTATCAAAAAGAGTAAAAAAAGAAAACTTAATAATTAATATGGTTATACCTGAACTAAAATAGGACCCCGAAATATACATAGATAGGTCAGGTTGAGTTTGCTTATTTTTGAGGTTTTTTATGCAGATCTTTTCTATTTATAGTAATTTTTTGCTTATTTTTGAAGTTTT